TTGTTGAGATGCGACCACGCGGGATCTGCACAGATTTATGGGGCATCTTATAAACTAACTTGCTATCCATTGTCAGATCTTTAAATACCACTTCACAATATCTTGTCTCACTTATTTTCTAATAACGTCTTTACTTGATCCTCATTATATTCCATTAAGCCTAACACTTTATAGCTCTTTATGAATTTGATTCGACTTATTCTATTCCTATTCTCTGGAGGGTACGGTTGTGCACCAAATAAAAAAAAGGCATGAAATAAAAACAACTGGCTTGAAAATGATTGTATTAAAGCCAAAAGTGGACATCATGATAGTACAAAATATATTGGTTTTATTATACATTGCAAATGAACGTTGTCGGCCTAAGGATTAATTACTTCCCCATTCTGTTTTCTATATAAATGAGTTTATTAATGATATATTTCACTCACTTAATCTATTAAACTTTAATGTTTCACCTTAGCACTTTAACTTTTCTAAAACAGCTTCCAATCCCTTGTAAACGTTGTACTTACCTCAATATTGGTTGGTTATCGTATGCCTACAACCACGGGATGAAAACGAAACGAAGTCGATTTTCCCGCTCAACCTGGAGGACAACTGTACAACTCAATAACTATACAGCCTAGTTCAGACAATGTGTATTTATATATATATCAAATATTTAACTCTTGAAACATTATTAACTTGTAGACAATTTAAGATTTGACATTATACCATACTTGATCGTGCCTGTAAAAATGGCATGCATTTTCATGTAAATTTATGTTTATATGAAAATAAAATAATAATAATTATTATTATTGGGAAATACAAAAACCTTTATTATAATGAATTTATTATCAAGCTGTACAATCGTATACATATAGTTTTCTATATATCAAGAAGCTCTATCCCGTGAGCAAATTTAAACAAAGGTGTGAATACATAAACTAATAATTGCAGTATGACATATACAAGTAAAATATTTCCTATTATGATTATAGTTAAATATCACGTGTCAAGTGGTAAAACAATTAATGCCATATGTAGAATAATTCATAGGATGTAGAGGTGTTGGAGTGTGTTGGTGGTTCAGCAGTAGAATGCCCACCAACCATGCCTCGCATGGTCCAGGGGTCGATTCCTGGACGGCGCATACCTTTACCCCCACCAATCAGCTGTACACCTCATAAAGAGGTAAGGCTGGACGTGAGGCTAGCAACCCCACTGCGTAAAAGTCACCAGTGTCACTGAAACTCTGAAGTGGAAGCTCGGAGCTTTATTCCCCCATTGGAACGCAAAGGAAATAAATAAAAAATAATAATAATAATAGTGGATGTTGGAAGAGGTGCATAGTTATGGGGTTAGTAGGCGAATACGAAACGTTACTAAAATTAGTGTGGAATTTGATAAGGTGGAAGTCAACACTGAAAAAGTTTTTTTTGATTTAGAATGACAAAGGGGACAAGTGGAAACACTTCAAAAAGAGAATAGTAGCAATAATAATAATCGTAGTGATGAGGGAAAGGTTCATAGATTGACTAAATAAACAAAATACATAAATAAATAAATGTCTATCCCTCTACGGCCAAGGCAGAACTAGGGATTGTACACACTTCTTTTGTACACAAAATTCTGGCTTAAATTCATGAATGGCCAAGGCATTCGCTGTCTTTAGAAGTTTACAACAAAAACAAACACTCCGAGTTTGCATGAATTCGATAGATGATCTTAAAATCATGGTCAGGGTTGACAAAGTGTCGGAATCGATCAAGCCTTCTAGAATAGGGCTTCGTACATCCTTCCTTTCTCCCTGGTAAAACCATGCTGCTTGTGTATGTTCTCATATCCGTTTGCAAAAGCGTTCTCTAGCTACGGCCAATATATCTTGTTCCACAAGAGCAGGTAAACAGATATATGCACATGGAGGCAGTTAGAAGAGGGAGCTTGTCCTTTACAGGGATGAAAAAATAACTTACAGCTTGTGAACGTTTAAATGTCTGTGAAATAGAGAATAATGGCAAGGTAGGATGTTAATTTTGAGGGAAATTAATTTAGGAAAAGATTCAGATTCTATTCTTGTATGAAGACACACTTCCACACAACACTTTTATCTCCTGGAAACACAAAAAGTCATCTCACATACTGACGCTCTTTGGCACACTGTTTGAGTCATTTCACTGACAACAGAGTGTATTTCCTCTACAAGTTTTGAACATTTGTAACTTTTGTTTCGACTTATTATAGTTTAAGTAAATATATACTTTATAAATTATTTACAATAATCCTGACACGTTTAAGAAAAAATCAAAACAAGATTTTTCTGGACATTTTGTTGTGCAAGCCACAGCTTCTTCAGCAGAAACAACTGGATTTTGTTAACCTTCAGAACATATTGTAAAAATACTACATAATCACAATATCGTTTTGTTTTTCATTCATTGAGAAATACAAAAAAACTTTATTGTAATGAATATCATATACCCAATGCCCAAATTCTTTCAAACCGTTAAAAGTGGACAGGGTTTGGACATATATAATGGCCCTATTTCTGTAACAGTTTAATGATGCCTGTAAACTGGTGTCCCTCATGTACTGTACTATAAGAAATTTATTTATTTTTCATTAGGCGTGTTTGTGGTGACGATATCCTGGCTGTTTTACACTCAATCGTCTTCCTATACCATCTGCTTAGTGAACTTACAGATCCACCTCGTTTAATATTTTTTTTATTCTTTTTATTTTTGATTTACAGCTTGATTCCACACTGTATTTTTGGTACAAGTACCACTTTCTCCGCCTCACCTGGTGATTATTTGGGGAAGCAGAGTTCGGAATTTTCCGCCTTACGAAAAAACTACATTCCCCACAAAATAGGCTAATGTACCTCCTCTCATTGAGTTTGGCATAGTTGTCGTAATTGAGTGAATAAATTCTAATGGAATCCGCTCAAACCCTGTAACCATTCCAAAGCATCAAAAAGTGGCAGTCAGGAAATCATCAGTTTTAAATAAACTCATTAAAACATCATTGATTATTGAGGTACTTCATGTGATAATGATGGAAATTTTATATCTGAGTCAACCGTACACGGCCACTTTAGCCTGTTCTCCATTTTTATCGGTGATTTGAGATGTTTTCTGAAATGCCGACTTCTTCCCTACGCTAGTGACGTAAAGATTTGAACGGTTAAAAATTGTCAGGTTGTAGCCAGACCTAAAAAGTCTGGAAGACTTTGCATGGCTCAGTGATTTGTCTTTTAACCTAAGAAATGCAAACGAAACAACTACATATCGACTAGCTTCGGGGACTAGGTTGCCCCTCGTGTGACGACAACTTGTCTTGTACAACGTCAGAATGACACTTAGTTCTCTTTCCTATGGAAAAACTGGATACAACTATGAGCTACCCGGGTGATTTTGTGACAGTATATGCGGTTAAATGGTCCACACACTCCTGAGCTTCTTCTGGGATTGCATCAAACACACATACGCCGGCTCCTTGATGTACTCAATATTACTGTTCACTAGTTCATTTATTGGATGCCTGTCTTTCGAAAAGGCTGAAAGTTGGCCGATAAAACGGATTATGAATCTCCGGGATAAACTATATGATAATAATAATAATATATATTCTCATCTTTTACATGAGGGACGCCAGTTTACAGGCATCATCAATTCGATAGGTTACACATAATATTAATAAGCATATTTAGTACAGATAATATAAGAGGGTACATTTTTTTCCTAGCTATGTAGGATACACCAATTGTATAGGCATGCATAAATATTGTTTTAAGGTTGAGGAAGTTAGACCTTTTCATACCTAGCTATCGTAGGCTTAGGAGTGCCCTAATTACCGATAACGAGCTTGCAGGTAACCGGAATCACCCCAACGAAAGGCTGCACCCTTAAGTCATTGCCGGCTTCCTCGAGACATCCCACGAAGTATATCACATCAAAGAGAAAAGACAAGAGCGCACTGTTATTCCTTTCTGCCTAGAGTTTACCATCCACAAATCATTTACCAGCAGATGTAAATACTGCGATCTTCGTGAAGAGATGTAAGAGGGGAATGGATAGTAAAGCAGAGACACTTGGACTATATCCAATTGGGTCATTGCCCTGAAACTCACACAGCACACTCAGTTAATGATTATACATCTGAATTCGCTCTCTACCACCATCCACCCTCCCTTGTCATATTTTTCTGGCTACTCTTCCAATTCACTCTCTGATGTTATTTTTATTTTCATCTTTAGTTAACTGGTTTCTAAATTCACTTTCCGTTTTTTGTTTGTCTTCCTCTTCAAGTCCCTTTAATCTACACTAATTGTGTGAACTATTAATACTGTGGCTGTAGATAATTCCCCGGAATTGTTGGCCATAGCATTCATCACTGAATATTGGATGCTGGCCCCCACTGTTTTAGTCGACTTGTTTAGCTGGAGGCTTCCAGTTGAGCATCCACGCTATTTGGCACGCCGTCGTTTACGTTCGTTAGTGGACCATGCCTAGCTAGTTAAGCTATCATCTCGCACTCAGGCCTGGTCCCGAAGTATAATTCGTAATTTGAACAGTAAGTTCTAGTGTTTTGTTTTGCTTTTGGTCTACGCGGAACGAAAACTATAGAAGTTGTGGGTATTAGATATTGAGTTAGTATACTTTGTAGTATCCCTGATCGTCAACACCCCAGGCTCTGAACTACCATTGTTCCTGTTATTCCCCTTTTTATTATTATTATCTCTCTTTTCAATCACACTGGACCACAAACAGATCTAGGGATCAACTTCATACACAGAAGTGAAGTGGTCTTAACAGAACACACTGAAAACTGCATTTAATTGATCCTCTCACCGCTCTCCTTGGAGTCATCAAGAGCTACGACAGTCAGTTGGTGGCAACAATACGCAGACTTCTACTGAAGGTAACTAACCCTTATTATACATCAAAGAAACAAGCACAAAGAAATCAATCAACGCTATATTGGATATTGAATTAGTGAGTTGTTTGACTCCTTTCTTTTAGTTAGCGTTGTTATAACAAGATTTACGCACTTATCTAAAATTGTCATGCGTCGTAATGCCATTTTCTCCTCTTGAACTACTTAATGACGAGAATCTTGAACGTTTTTCAAAAGATGTTGCTAAAGCTAACGAGGAAGTTTTAGAAAGCCGGGGAAAACACGGTGGAGATGAGAAGTCTTCAGTAGAGGGTTTGTTCGCAATTTCTTGACTTCACCATTCCAGTTACACTTACTAAAATTTTATCTGAAGATATTCACAATGGCTGTCAAACAACATTTGATCACAATACAAGTGATCAGTTTGGTGCAGAGATTCAGGAAATCAGTTTAAGTCATGTGGAGAATATTGCAAGTACATTATACTAATTGAAGGATAGTTTGTAATACACTTAGAGTCTAGAAGGGAAGTATTGCCCAAAAATTCTTCGAACTCAAACTGGAGACCTGTTCCAGACAAATGGGAATTAGAAACCATTTATATACCCCAGGGTAAGTTTATTTTTTCTCATCTGCACTTAGTTTTTGAGGGCTAAAATAATCAAATTCGGATTTATTAATTGGGGGTGGCAGGCTTGAAACCTATGTTAATCCATTTTCAATAAGTTTCCGCGCCTGTCCAAATCCTTCTTAAATAAATCATTCTTAGTGTTTAAGTTAACTGCCATCACAGCTTCGCTTCATTTTCTTTTCTAGTAGTTTTTAACATGGGAACTTATCAAAGGTGTGTATGACAAATGAAATTCGGACACCATAATTTAAAAGAAACCCCACTTCCTTTTTTCTTCTTCCAGAGGGAAATAATATTGCAATCCATCAATTTTTCTAGTGAGAAAACTAAGATTAGCCAACCTCCGCTTGAAAAGCGTTGTGTGATTACCAATATTTAAGATTAGAGAGCAAATGAAATACATCTCGTGGCTGATGTCCGAGAAATAATCAAAACTACTCAAACTAAAATTTTTTTATGGAACTAAGGATTTAGAAGTCGTATTAAGTTTTTCGTTAGTAATTTAAAGAAAGAAAACCTTGTCTGTTCCACAAGTTGGTTCCCAGATTTAATGTTCCATTTATTCAGATTCAGATTTATTGGTTGAGGATTGAAGGCCTTAAGCCTATGTTAATCCTTTTCTAGTAAATTTCTGTAGTTGTCCGAACCCTTCTTGAACGAATCAGTTGAGGTTTCAGACATCACTTCTTCTGGGAGTCGGTTCCAAGAGTTTATGAGAACCAGCACTCAACAGCAATATGATTTCTTCTTGGCTTTTGAACTCTCCTGCTTTGTCGTCTAAGGTGTTCCGACCTGGTGGAAAGGAAAAGAGGGAATAGCTCAGGTCCGTAGTCCTTATTTAAAATTTTAAACATTGTGATTAAATCTCCTCTCTGCCTACGGTATGACAGAGAGAAGAGATTTAAACTGTCTAGTCTTTCCTCGTATGATAAGTTAGTCATGGCGTGAACCATACGTGTTGCCTTCCTTTGAACCCTTTCTAGAATGTATGAGTCCCCTTTTAGACAAGGACTGGCTGCCTGGATGCAGTTTTTCAGTCTTGACCTCACCAGAGATGTATATAAGGAGGTGAACATATCTCTGGTGATTCTAGTAAAGACTCCGCTAATTTCCCATAAGGACCTGGAACTACGTGCAGCCACCACGCGACAGTGTGCTGTAGTTTTTAAGTCTTGGCTAACTATGACACCTAAGTCCAAGTGATTCTGAACTGATGGAAGCGTTATTCCCTCTAGTTCGTAGGAGCTCGTGCTTGCTTGTCCGATGAGCATGGTTGAACATTTTGCCACATCGATCGGGAGCATCCATTCTATGAACCACTCTGACAATTTGTTGAGGTCCTCCAAATTTTTAAGGTGTCTGCGTATATGACCATAGGGAAGTTGGTGAGCAGAGATAACCCTAAAGATACGGTTCTATTTCTGTTTTTACTTTACCGATGTTTACTTTGTAAGGATTAGAAATGGATATAATAGACATATTTTAAGAATAATTGTTATTGACGACAATAATGTCCCTCAAATTTCAAAAGCTTTCACGAGATGTATATGAATATATCGCTGATAGTTAACAGTTCAGAATGTGTGTAAGTGACAATATTCCTAAAATATCACTAAGGTGAACATCAAATACTAAAGGCAAACGACTATCAGTCATAATAAATATATGGTATTGGATGTTCATGATTAATTTTCACACTGAATTTTTATAAAATCTGATTAGAAACTTCATTGAAATAAATAATCAAAAGGAGGCAAGGAAAATGTGGTCAGAAGCTGTGTCTGAGCATATGTGTCAATGCGTAAGTGATAAACAAGCGGTAAATGAAGAAAATAAAACGTTTGTCTGTACACTTGCAATAATTAGTAAAGAATATGGAGAAATCGCTTACACAGGATGGGAGATCATGCCGAGGATGTGTAACCTAATGAACTTAAAAATTAACAGTAAACCAGAGAGGCAAAAATGACTAGGCTGGTTTCTTTTTCACATAAATTTTCAGGTGTCTCAGGCGAGCACTGTTGGCACTAACAGGTATGGCATCTGATTTTTGGAGTATTCGGTACTCAGTTTTCATAGGTAATTTGTCTGGTAAACGGTAAACGACTGGATACGTCTCCTACATGCTGGATTTGTGACTTGTGTGGATCGAACTATTAATGACTTTCTATTTAATTAAGTGCTGTTGGGTTCGAGAAATCAAGTCTCTAAGAGAAAAATTGAGTTATGACTGTTTCCATAGGATTGGCTTAATTACTAGTTACGCGAAGAGGTGAATAACTTAGGATCTTCGTCTTTTATTTTCAAGATATGGCTTCCGATTTTTCGGCAGTTAGGATTATCTGAGTTGATCTTCCTTGCTAGTCGGTTACTAATTCACTTGATGTGTCACCTTGAAACTGCAATTGCATGTAGATTGTCTTGCTTTCCAAAAATTTGAAACATTGCTTTTTGACTTTACTTGTTATATGTTTCTTTTCGGACTCCTCTGGATGTTTGTCCCCGATTAAGTTGTCACATACAGTCTTCGGTTTATCCTCAATCACAGCTTGTGAATAAATAGCTCTTCCCCTACTGATGAGTGTCTTTACCAAAGTTATTTTATATTAAAGTGAATCAGAGCTATATAATTGTGCACATTGCCGTACTATGTACTTCTATTACATAAGTTTCTTTTTACATTATCATATCAAGGAATCTTGTAAGAAGGGCATCTAAGAATAGTTAGCTAGAACATAAAAGTGGAATTTTCCATGTCTAGAATCTGTCTTAACAGTCAGTCACACTTTTGGTAAAAGGTATAATCTTGCTGTGTATATGCCTGTAGGCTTGAGTTCAAGAAAGAAACTTATGGGACGTAATTGTTCTTTTTTAGTTTCTTTTAAATTCTAGTTAGTTCATTCCCCATTTTATTATCTAAGTCTTTTGTACTCTCTTGTTTCTGACACTCCTTTTATCATTCAGCGTACCATTCATCTTTTCAACATAATTGCTTCTGTCAAGAAGGATTTTATCAATTTTTATAGTTACCAATTTCTTGTCAGTTACTGACTTATGTAGCTCTTTCCTGTGTTCCATTGTCATGAAACTTTTACTGTTATTTTTTTTTATTTCCTTCATGTTCCCACTGGTACATAGGGCTTCAAGCCTCCGGCTTGAAGTTTCTGTAGCAGCGTTTATTTTTACATGATGGGGTTTCTAGCCTCATGCCCAATCTTCCCTCTTTACAAATCCTGTTCCTGGGTAATTGAGGTAAAGGAGTGCGTCGGTGGCCGTGGATCGAACCCCGGACCATGTACATGGTCGGCGAGCATGTTAACCACTGTGCCACCGACGCACTCTACTGTCATATTTGATGTTTTTATATCGTTAACAAAAGTCTGTTAGACTGAATCTGAAGCTTTCTTGTCCTTGGTTGAAAGGTGGAACTGGGTCCCACTTCTGACTATACAGGTTTTCAAATTCATTATCTGTATCTGTGTGATTGATATGTTTGAGTGTCTTACAAAATCTTAGGTCAAGAGAAAGCACCTCGGGGTGAATTTTATTTATATTCAACACTACTATAATTGTGTGTGTAACTTTTAGTATCTACCGGGTAACCATTAGCTACTGACTTGCTTATAAGTCATTTATTCGAATATAATTTCGCTTCTATTTTGATAATGTGTATCGTTCTCACTGAGAAGTGAGGTAACTCAAAATCCTTATTTTTATTTGTCTGTTAATGAATTTTTCATTTTGTTCCTTTCCTTTGAGTTCTGAATAGAACATAGGGTTTCAGACGTTGTTAAGCTTTGAAATTCCAATGGCAATAGTATTTATTTTTATTGGATGGGGTGGCTAAACTCACGCCTAATCTTTCCTCTTCACCTGACTGACTACCAGATTATGGAAGACATGAAAAGGCTAGCTGTGTTTGATTATAGGTGTTTGCGTTCTATCTCCCTCCCGTGTCAAGTGGTATAATAGAGTGAGCAATATTGAGGTTAGACTTCGATCGAGTTCTAGGTAAGGCGGGGAAATCAACCGACGAGGCTGTTAAGCTACATCGACTGAGACGTACTCCTAGTCATCGCCTTCCTCGACAACAGGTTATGTTAACTGACATAGGATGGATCAGGCTGGAAAAGAGCCAGTGGTGGTCAAACCAAAACATGGCTGCATCAGTCGAGAAAATCCCCAACAGTTAGTTTAAGCCAGCCACGTGGGAAGGTGTAGACTTCCTGACTGGTTGGGGTCCTCGGGAGAGTAAAAACCAATGAAGGCTGGAGACAATTGGTGATATGGCTCAAATTGATCGTTCTCAGTAGCACACTGGGGCAGGTGCATTCACTCCTTGTGATTTATTATTTCCAATGAAACTATATTGTTATTCGTTATTGCTATTCCGTTTATCTCACACCTCTGTTTACCGTCTCTATTATGCATTTCTTCTACTTTCTTTTCTTGCTTTATGTGTTACATGGAGGGATTGTGGTGACTTGAACTGCTGCACATCGATGCAAAGTTCTATATCGAATATATACAGACAATGTGTCTGCCAGGGATTAAATCTGAATCACATATGTGGTTGGCGGGTATTGTACCATTGAATCACTGACGTCGCATTAGTGATTAGTATTTCATAATTTAAATGCTGCTCACATATGTTCACAAAGTATTTTTTGACTAATTTACTCAGAAAACCATTTATCTTGTCTGTCTGTCTGTTTTCGACATAGAACTTTGCACAAATGTGCGGAAGTTCAAGTCGCTACACTCCGTGTAGCACGCGAAGCAAGAGAAGAAAGTACAAGAAAAGCATAATAGAAACAGTGAGCAGAGGTGTGAGACAAAGGAGCAATAAAGAAAAACAAAACAGTTTCATTGGAGATCATAAGTCACAAGGAGTGGATAACTTATTGTCATCAAGTGAAGGGTTTCAGTCCAAATATCCAGTTTCAGGAAATAGGAAATTTTCCTCTGCATTTTGATGTTC